CACACGCAAATTGGCAGAGGCAGAGCCCCGTCTGCCGTGCCAGGATGGCCACCACAGCAGCCCTGGCCACCAGCCCCGGAGGCGCTGAGCCCAGCAGCACGGAGCCACAGCCCTGCTTCCCTTCCCCTGGGCCACAGGCAGAGAGGCTGCAGGACAAGCCCCTTCCTCCTCCTCACCTCCTGTAGCCCCCCAGGCAGGGGCCGGGGCAGGGCCATCACGCTATGCCGCAGGCAGAGGGGACCACAGACCCCCCCACAGACCCCCCCTCGGCCGCTGAGCCCCCGGACAGCACACTGGATGTTGGGCGATTGTTTATTTAAGTAGCAGAAGGTAATTAACAGGGGCTGGAGAAGGAGAAAAAGGCAACTGAGACAAGCTTTTTTAAAAAAAACACAAAAGCACAGAGAAACATGACGCAGAGAAGGAGCATTTCCAGGGGCAGGGGCTCCCTGGGCCACAGGGCACGTCCTGGACCCCAGCCCCACGGGTGACACCCACGCAGGGCACTCGTGGCACAAGCGACTTCGCAGCCCAAAGCCACCTCCTCCTCCATCACCGCCCTGCGCCCCCTCCGCGGCACGCCTCGGGGAGGAAGGCTCTGTCGGTCACTAGACACACACTGCCAAGGCCACCGAACTCAGAGAAAAAATAATAAACCAGCGAGAAGTGTTTGTGCTGTGAGCGCCGGGGCGGGGGCCCCACGGCCACGCAGGCCGGCTGGGTGCCCGGGGTGGGGGCACAGCCACCTGGGGCCACCAGGCAGCACTGGGAGGGGAAGGGAGCTGCCTCCCCCTTTCCCCTCCCCAAAGCAGCAGCTGCGTGTGCCTCCAAATTCCCTTCCAGGGCGATGAATTCCCACCGCAGCAGGACAGCTACCCGGCGAGGGTGAAGTTCCTCATCCCAAAAGCCAAAAAGGAAACGGTGTTTCCTTCCTGGACGAGCTTCCTGCCAACCCACCAAGTCACAGAGGAGAAAGGGCACAGAAAATTTCAGCTGAGGGCCGAGCAGCCGCGTTTCCCCCGCGAGCAGCGGCTGCTGCTCACCCAGTTCCCACGCTCTGCGCGGGCAGCGAGGGCACAGCCGAGGGGAAAGGGCAGCAGATATCCAGGGGCTCCCGGGGTGGTTTAGCATTTAGCGTCACACCCATCCAGCGCAGGTGACATCTGGGGACGAGGCTGTGGCCACCACAGCTGTGATCCGCTCCTGGCTGCTGGCCACAGGGCGAGGACGGGCCCACGGGGGTGGTCAGGGCCTGGATAAGCATTTCCAGAGCGGCTGGAGATGGGGCACGTGCAGATTTAGACGCTGGCACGGTGCGGGAGAGCGTTTCAAAGGTCACTTTGTGGTACCGAGCTCCAGGGAGGTTCAGCCCGGCAGGACGAGGAGTGACTGGGAAGGTGAAGTTTGCAAACGAGACACCTGGCTACGGCTCGGGGAGGTCACTGCGAGGGGAGAGATGCCACCACGGTGCAACCTCCCGCTTCTGCAAGGCACCGACCTTCCCAGGAACACCACAGCTGGGAAGAACACCCCTTCCCGAGCCGCTGTGAGAGGAAGGCAGCCCCGCGGGGACCCCCCTGCTCCTCCTCAAGGCCCCCGAGGAAAACGCAGCCCCCAGCTCAGAGATTCAGCCTAAAACAGTAACAACAGAAACGTGCTCCACACAGAGGAGAGTCGGGCGAGCGGCGCCCCAGAAGACCCCAGAACCCACCTCCAGAAGGATCCTTTTAGTGTTAAATCAGGAGCGGGACGCTGTCAGAAATCAGCAGCAACCCTCAAATGAAAAACATTTGCATTCTGAAATCAGAACCAGCAAAGCGTTCCTAAGCCCAGAGAGAGGCCGCCTCTGCCCGGAACCCCCTGCCAGCACCGCTGCCTGCTCTGGGGAAAAAAAGTCATCACCGACACAGCCCAAAAGAAGAGTCTAAACACAGGCAGGCAGGGCCGGGGCCGCGGTGCTGCGGGAGGGGACGGCCGACTCCGCCTGGCCGCTGGGTCAGAGCGAGGACGTAGCAGAGGGAAGGGGTCCTGGGCCCTCCGCCCCCCCCCCGTACCACCAGTGCGGGGCAGCAGTCCGCAGGGAGCAGGAGACCTTAATTCCGCAGGGCGGCCAACCTGGAAGGGAGAGGATGAGAGGGAACCGACGTGAGAGCGGGAGGAAACGGCCACGACTCGCAAGGACCCATCAGGCAGCGCAGGCAGGGAGCGCTTGTGCCCCAGAAACCTCCTCCAGAGGCGTGAGGAATCTGGCCCTGGAGCACGCGGCCGCCTGGGGTGAACCCGGGGTGTCTGTCACCAACGCGGGCCAGGCGCCGTGGAGAAGGGGTTCCTGGCTTCTTTCCCGGGTGCCTCAGCACCGCAGCCCCCCTGGTCCCTCTGCCAGGGCCCTTGCCAGCTCCCGGGGCAGCACGTCACAGCCTGGGGACTGTCCCCAGATGGACCCTGGTGGCGGCTGCGTGGGGAGCAGCGGGGAGGGACGGGGAGAGGAAGCTTATCAGCTTCTCCTGGAGCGGTTCCAGGGAAGCAGCCTGTTCCTGGAGCTGCTGAGGGTCAGTGCCAAGCGCTCCCAGAGCGGCAGCAGCTGCGTGAGGGCGAGCAGAGAGCAGGGAGAGACTCTTCCGCACCTCTCGTCGATGACAGCTCGCTGCCGGGCGCCAAACGCCACCCCCTCCCACAGCCCCCACGGCCAGGCGCGGCGGGTAACCCCCCCCTTCGGATGGGTGAGGGATCCCTGGGAAGGATTCAAACTGCCTCGACGCAAGGCAAAGGACGCGGGAGAGGACAAACCTCCGCGACAGCTGGTCTTCCTGGGTGCGGACCGAGCTCTCCCCCACTGCCGAAGCCCCCTCGGGGAGCTGGTTGAGCTGGTCCAGGATCTCCAGGCCATTCTCCTCGGCGATCTGGACGATGAGGCTGTCCACTTGCTCCTGCGGCGTGGTCAGCGTGGTGGCGGAGCTCATGGAGTCCTCCATGACCTGCAGCAGAGACAGTCTGTCACCCTGCCCCACGGGCAAACCCGCCCAGCCCAGCCTGATTTTTTTTCCCCCTGAAGAACCAGCTGCAGATCCCACATCACTCCCAGCCCCAACAGCCTCCAGTCTGTGGCGGGGCACAAGGTCTGGGTCTGCCACAGAGGCCCCGACTGTTGTCTGGGTCCAACGCAGCCACCCTCCCTCCTCTCCTCATCCACCCCCTCGCACAGGAAACCCCTTCCCTGTCGGACAGCAGAGCCCCAACGTCTCAAACATCCCTCAAACTCAGAAAACAAAACTGCACAAATGGCCGGGGGGGGTCTCACACTGGGGACTGGAGTCCCCAGGTTACAGCTGGGAGCCGAGAGGCAGCGTGTGACGAGCCCACCCTCCCCAACCCAGCAGGTCCCAGCCCTCCCACACCCCTCAGAGGCACTCACCGACGTATGAACATCCAAATTCTGAACCTGCTGCTCGAATTTATCCATCACGGCAGACACCTTCTGCAGGTCCATAGAGCTCAGAGCCTTGTCCAAGGCCTTTGTCACCTGGGCCATGTTTTTTGTCACCTGCAAGAGGAGATTGCTCTGCAGATGCTCCCCAAAAGCGAGGTACCTCGCTGCTGAGGGTAAAACCCCGATCAGTGAGAGAGGAGCTGGCGGCTCTGATGAAGCCACCCCACTGCGAGGCTGCCCCAGATGGGCTCTTCAGAGGCTGAACCTGACTGAGAGGGTCTGAGCTAAGGCCAAGGCTTGGCAGGATCCTTTTTGGGACAAGGAAATCCAAAGTGGTTTGAGGCAGTGAGTGGGAAAAAGCCACCATTCGGTCTCTGTGAGGCACAGACCGGTCTCAGAGCCCCATGCACACCCAGAGGCTCTTACCCCCTTCATCGTCACGGCCGTCTGGACCTTGGAGGCCACCGCGTCCACGCGGGAGGACATGCGGAGCCAGTTGAGGCCCTCGTTCTTCTTGCGGATGGCATTCTCCGCATAGACACGAGCGCACTCCACATTCTTCTGCTGAAGGGCCTGCAAGTGCAAAAGGCAACTGCTTGCACAAAAAAACCACCACAGGTTTATAAACCAATGCACTCTGCTTCTGCCTGGGGGGTTTCCTGTGACCCTCCAAGGGCTGAGCACGCCCTGGAACGGGAATTAAATCCTTGTGGGTGCTGCAGGGACACACCGCACCCACGCAGCGGATCTGAGGGCGGGACACAAAACCCTCGGAAGGCCGAGCCGGGGC